TTGAAATGGGGCTACTTGGAGATTTTTGGTTCTGCTGCTATTCTTCCCAGGACATAAAGGACGATGTCCTGCACAGAGTAGGCACTTAATACACACTGATGGGATGTGTGCCTGGAAGTGTAGCCCAGCAATAAGAAAGCAGATGTGCTTGGGGGGCTGGAGAGAGGGCCAGGAAATAAATGCCCAGCAAAACAGAGCTCTGCTCACAGAGACTGTATGGAGGTAGCGGGAAAGCAGAGTAGATGGAGGGGGGCCAACACCAAAAAGAAAAGAGCAATCAGTCAAGTTGTTTCCCCCGCCTCACTGCTCCCTCACCAAAGGCAGGTGTCCATTGGGAATGAGTGAAATGCAATTAATGAGGTTTTTGGCCATGACAGCTTAGGTTCCGAGCATCTTCATGCTGAACTGCGGCACCTGCCTCATCTTCCTGCCAACATGAACCCTGGTTGCTCTGGAAATTACCTCAGTTGTTTTACTTTTTTTTTTAATTATTACTTTTTTAATGGAGGTACTGGGGGTTGAACCCAGGACCTTGTGCATGCTAAGCACGTGCTCTGCTACTGAGCTATTTCCCTCCCTCTGTTTTCCTTTTAAAATTAGAATCTTGAGGAAGGACTTTCAGCAAAAGAGAGCTAAATGATTGCAAAGTGGATTATCAAGCCTAACCTGTCCAAAACATCACGTCTCACCCCACACTCAACTGTCCTGGTTTCCTTCACCATCCTTTACCAGGTGCACAGCGCAGCCAAGGGAATATTTGTGATTTAATGATGCATGGCTAATAATAATGATCACAGTAAGAAGAAAGCTGCTGTTTAGACAGCATCACGTGAGAAGTAGCATGCCAAGTGCTTAAATAAATACATTACCTTATTCAGTTCTATCCGTAATGCCATATGTTTGCTCAAGGACAGAAAGACTTGGGTTCTAGCCCAAATATGTCAGACTCAAAAATCTGTGGTCTTCCCCACTGGATCAAACTCAGGGTCTTGAATCCAAATAGCAACTCTTTCTTTTTGCTTTTCGAAGTGAATCAACAAACTGGAAAGTGTAGAGTGTCAAGAACTCTAGATACCCCAGGCCAGGGAGGGTATAGCTCAAGTGGTAGAGAGCATGCTTAGCATGCATGAGGTCCTGGGTTCAATCCCCAGTACCTCCTTTAAGAATAAAGAAAAAAATAAACCTAATTACCCTACCCCTGGACCCAACCCCCCACAAAAAAACCCCAAGGCCAAGATCTCTCACAAAAGACGGAGACATAGATGGGCCCTAGGAATGAATGAATGAATACCAATTGTGAATAATTTAGCTTGTGAGGTCCTTAGATCATGAGGACACTGCAGTTTCCTGTAAACCTAAGACATTTCACTATAAACCAAGGAGTGACATGGTTCTGATGCCAGCTCATAAAATCTAAAGATACAATCTGGTTACAAATTCTAAGACTCATTCTCAATTGTATTTGAAGTAAATGTGCACACACACACACACACACACACCCCTGTACTATATTCTGACTCCTTTGAAAAAAACTTGTTTTACTCTTTTTCTAAATATCCTTTTCAATTTTTCAAATCTTTTATATAATAAAGATGAGGGACAGTTCCAACACAAACCCTCCCGAAGAGAACACAGTTTTGACTGTGTTCAAATCAGAGCTCATACCGCTATTTTATTATTATTTTTAGATAATCCTATCTTCATCGGAAACAATCTGCACATGCAACTTCCCAGGTCAACTGCTGGTTCCAAGGAGCCTTTGAAGTGTCTTCGGGAAAGCTCAAGGACCAGCAGTTTTTTGAGATGGATAAATTCAGTCATGTGTTTATGTTCAAGTTAGAACAGTTTGCAAAAGTCCTTCATGGGCCCTATATAGAAGTCCTTACAAACTTTCATGAACGCATCTTGGTATGTGATTGCCAGTTTTTATACACACCATTTAAACCTTTATCATGAGTCAAAGTCCTTAAAGAAAATGGACAAAGACCTTCCTTTTAAAAATGCCAAATTGAAGAATGGGGAGTTGCATGAACTTGGACTTTTAAAGACACAAATTGATTTAAGAAGCAAAGATTTTGGGGAGCCCTAAGACAATAAAGCGATCAGCACCAAGACATCTGTCAGGGCGGAGGGGACCTGAGGTAAAGACCAGTTAAATCTAATGCAATCAGGAACTTAGGCCAGTTGAACATTTTGTCATGAGGTGACAACCCCCTAACACCATAATCTCGCCTTTCAGGATGATGACACAGGACTTAATGAGTAAAAGAAAACAACTTCAGATCTCTCTTTTGAACATGAATTGTCTACTTAGGTTAAAGGTGGACTGTGAGATCCCATTAGCTACAGGCACAATTGGGAAAAGTAATGGTCACAGACACACACACATACACACGCACAACACACGCACATACACGCGTGCGCTGCAAAACAAGTAGTTATGCAATGATAGCAATGTCTGTTTCTACTCAGATTCGAAAAAAGAATTAAAGCCAAAACTAACAACCTTCCTGCTAATTAGAGAAATAAAAATGTCTCCCCAAGCGCCCCAACATAATATGAAACTGAAATGAATTGCTTTCCTTTGGAACCCACTTATTTATTCATGTTTAAAAGAAGATTCGGGGATAAAGAAACTTGGAAAGTGAGCAGCTGGGGAGCCCACAGACACTGCGCATGGAGTCCAGGAGTCGAGCGCACACACAACAAGAGCTCGTTTCCTTGCTGCAACCCTGGATACCGTCTAACAAAAATCTGGTTACCTTTACACTTCTTCTCTTCTGTCTGGAAGGTCTGGGCACCTGGGACACTCGGATCGCTCACATCGTCCTGGTCCAGATGGAAGATGGAGCTGGTCCAGGGCGCCTGGATGAGATGCGGCGACGACTGTTCATTCTTCAGCGAGCTGCGCCTCTCCGGGGGGCTCTTCCTGCGCAGGCAGCCTTCGGACATGCCCACCAGCTTCCAGTCCTGCTCGCGGTCCGGACAACGCTTCGGCTTGTCCCAGGCTGGAAGGCCATTTTCTGGAGGGTTGAAACACAGGAGATGACGAGCTGTTGGCATGGCCAAGACTGGGTTGAGTTGGAGAGCTTTGGAAGGCAAGTTGTTTCCCGATTCTTTCGGGCTGACCGGGTTCACATGGCCCTCCTCTTGATGGCGGTGGTAAGATGCGGGGGGATACCAGCCTCGGGCATGTGGCCACTGCAGCTGGATTGCCTGCCGGAGTAATCAACACCTCCCCCCTGGCTTTTAGTGCCTAGAAAGACATCAGCGTCCCCATGGGAAGGCTGCCTTCTTGCCCGTCCTGCTCCAACAGCAATGACCCTGGAGCAAGTTGACACCCATTTATGTGACTGCTTAGATGACCATTTGAGGTCTCGAGGGTCAGGGCTGGCCGTGGACACTTTTCAGAGCCTCAGGACATAAAACGTGCAGGGTTCGGCCTGGTTTGACTTGGGTTTTATCACAGGCTGACCTGAGGGGCACCCTGTTCCTTAAGTGGGACATGCCACGTGGCCGTGCAAGACTGACAAGTCCATTCTCCTTGCTACCCTCCACTCCCCAGAGCCTACAACAGTGGGAAGAGAAGCTGTGTGGGTGGTTTCAGTGTCGTCCCAAACAGGCGGTGCGATGAGCTCAAGACAGCAGATAGTGCTTCAGTGTGGGGCGATTTACAACCCTAATCAGAGAATGAAAGACCCCAAATCTCTTTGGTTGAAGTAAAGGCAGTCAATGGCTTATGTATATAGTATTGTTTTCTCTATTCAGTTTATAGGGGCTTGAAGGTCTGCTCTCTAGAAAATGAGGAAAAAACCAGAATAATATAATGAATATAACTTTCTCATGCTAACCTTCCCTGGTGGCACATTATACCTCCTTGAATATCTTTACTGAACATGGAAATAAAGTAGAGAGTGAAAACAAACAAGCTAATATATAGATTTGTAGATGCATTCACATTAAAACACAGAGGTCATCCGGCCATCCGTATTTCCAGAAATTCTTAGGCTAAGGTCTGTCAAAATGCAAAAGCAAAAGAAAAAAACTAATATAAATAGAGTTCTACTTTTAAAGTAATTATAAACAGTGATTGAAAGACAGCAATTTATAAGTGAATTTTCTTTTACGTTGAAATAGAGGACCATACGTATGTGCATCAGAGAGACAAGTCCATCCTGCTCTGTGCAGAGTAACTGGGAATTTAAAGCTGCTTTCCAACATTTAAAATGAATTTTGAATTATTTACTGCAAGGCTTAAACATGTTTCAGGTTTTCACAAGCACCCTCTGTAAAGCTGCTAGATGTCTCCAGGGATGTAGGGGAGGGTGGTTTCTCATCTGTCCTCAGCCCCTTTTGGAAGCTGCATTTATCCTTCCTGGTCTTTGGGCTGCTGGGTGGAAATCCTGGTACCCATACACTTGATTTCTAGCACCGGAGAAGGCTGTGAGCGACTATGACAATAGAGGAATAGCTAACACATGATTTCTCCATCACAGTAGTGGAAATGCTGCAATTTGCAATATCCTAACTCGGCCAGTAAGCAATGATCCTCTTTAAAAAAAAATCTTACAATACTTTTGGAGGTAACGTTTGATCTTATTCAGAAAAGAGCCATGCAAATTCACCCTGTGTAAAGGGCCGTCCTAGGCATCGGGTGAGGTGAGTTACCCAGACCTGGGATCTTTCTCCTCAGTTTACATGCCGCTGTTTGATGCATGGCGAATCAGAAAGGGCTGGACCCAGCCGTGCCGGCTACTGGTGCAATTACAGACACTTAGTCTCACTTTCCATGAAAGGAAAACAACAGGTTAAGAGCTTGGGAGACTGGATTGCATTTTGGACTACACATATCTATGAAGAATCCTTGCAGGTATCTATTATCCAGGAGGGTTTGAGGTTTTCATGAGCTAAATATAAAGCCACTGAATGCAAAGGTCAATTCTGGGCCCAAAGAGATTTATTTTGTTTCTACAGACGTGAAAAGCCTTCTCGCCCATGCGTGCTTCTATGGTGTCTACTCTATTTTCAGGGACTCTAAACCTTTGGTACCTCGCCCCATGTAAAGCTCCATTTTAAGTCATGTTCAGGTTATCATA